ACAGCATATAGTCCAAGCACATAACAGACTTCTCTTCAGGAAGCCAAGATATAGTGGGTGATCCTCCTACCCACTAACCCTTCCGGGTACAGTTTGGCATGGCACCTTGTGTCTTAATGCCCACTCTATCTAGAAGTGCCCTCCAAAGGTCAAGATCTAATCGAACTAGGAGCTGAAATCATAATGACCCACTGGTGCATTCTGGACCTCAGCCTTTCTCTGTCGATTTTTTTTTTTTTTAATTATCCACATAATTTAATTATCCACATAATTTTTTTCTAGAGAAATCCATCAGAGTCCCTTGCATCATGGAGCACCCAACCCTGTGGGATCAGTCTTGTTCTCCCTGTTTAATCAAGGATGCTCCACATTCAATGATACTCCTCATACAACTCTCAATGCCAGAAGACACAATTCCCTCGAACCTGGCCTCTCGGCTCACGTAGAGACTAATGGTCTCTCACTAATTCCTCGGCTGCTTGTTTGTACATCCTTGTAGGCGGGGAGCCGGTGTCAGGCAGGATTGGGGCAGTCCTGCACTCTCTGAGTCCGGGTAACAGTTTTCTCGACTTGTTTGCAGCTTCCAGAGCCCCTCCCATCTTCTCGAACATTTCCACAGTCTTCCCTGTTCTTCTGTGCCTCTTTGTTTGCTGACGAGAGGAATCTGCAGCCTCATCAGCTCTGCACCAACCTCCCACCACCTCCTGGGCAAAGTCCTCCTCAGGAAAAGACTAGAAAGAAGAATGGAGGGGCCTGGAGGTGCTCGCACCCGATGAGGACGGGCAGGGTGGACAGTACACAGAGTTCAGGGCAATGGGCCCGCGATGGGAGGGCAGCACTGCCCGTGGGGCTGGGTGGCCTTGAGCCTATCTGGCCCCATGACTTCACAATGTGAAGGAGCTGAGCTGGAGGATTCGGAGCTCTTTCCAGCTCTAAACACCCCAAACCTTAATTATGACCCTTGTCTCTGGATAGTGAAATATTAACATGGTTTTTTTTGGTTTTTTGTTTTTGTTTTTTTTACTTCTTCCCTTCAGCATTTTGCAAATAGTCTATAGTAAGTTTGCAATACTGAAGTGTGTGTGTGTTCACAGGACCAAAAAGTCTCTGATTCTAGAAAGAAAATGGAAAGGTTTTTTTTCTTAAGTTAATGAAATAGAGGCACCTAGGCTCAGTTGGTTAAGCGTCTGACTTCGGCTGAGGTCATGATCTCGCGGTTCATGAGTTCGAACCCATGTCAGGCTCTGAGCGGCTTTGAATTCTGTATCTCCTTCTCTCTCTGCCCCTCCCCTGCTCGTGCTCTCTCTGTCTCTCTGTCTCTCCTCTCTCTCAAAAATAAAATAAAACATTTTTTTTAAAGCCTTAAAAAATAAGGAAGTGAAATAAAATTTAAAAGTAAAGGCAGAGGAGAAAGAAAGGCCCAACTGGAGGACCCAAATCCCTGCAGGGGCAGCATTGACCTCGGGGGTTTCCCACCTCCAGGGTGATAGGTCTTTGTAACCTCATGGCGCCATCTGCTGGTCATCCTGGGACAACCGCTTCAGCTTATTCGCAAAAGGGCTTTGAGGTGAATCCAGCCAACATCGCTGGGCATTCGGGATATAGATCACATTCCGTTTACAGGCTAATCTCACGCCGTTCTTTCCTCCAGAATTTACTTTTGATCTCGCATGACAGTAATAACTGTAACCGGGACACCAGAGTAAGTCCCTTTTGTACAAGGAATGGTCACCGGATAACTGCGCACGGCCCCTCCTGCCTGGAGTGGCTGGTTCTTCAGATCCTCTCCCCTCTGCTCTTGAGAAAACTCACTCCCAGCCGACTTTGAACAGTGTCGGTTTCATCTCCATGTGTCTCTGTCCTGTGGGTTTCCATAGATCTTGACTTTTTGGCCTTGGATTAATTCGGCGGCTCAGGCATTCCTACACGGACCAAAAACCTAAAATGCTGGCCAGGCCTCTCGCGGGTCCCTCTAGAACCCTGCTTTTCTACCTCCGCAAAGGGAGTGGGGTACCTCACTCCCTGGCAGTCTCCGCTGGGAGGGGGCCTGTGGCCCGGCTGATCTCTTACCCTCTTCCCAACCAGACCCTGGCCACAGTGGCTGCCCAGCAAAAGCCCCCTTGCTACCTGAGGCTGGGCTTTAGATGTAGGACAGCATGCATATCCGGCAACACCCTCTGTTGTAGATACTGGTGGGAAAGTGTTTTCCTTCTAACACTGCTAATTCCAGTTCTACAAGGCACCTCTCAAAATACCAGCCTTAAAAATAGCCCTAACCAGACTCTGGACAGATGTATCCATTCACCTATCCAGCTGGGGCATTGTGATATAGTAATGGTCCCAGTTCTTGGCATAGAGCTTCTAAAACCTGTGAATTTCCTGAGTGAGGCGGGGGGGGGGGGGGGGGGGGGGGGGGTTGGCTAGAAGTATCTTTGGTTATAATATTTGGCTTGTGTCCCCGTTACTGGCACAGAGGGGTTTGGAGAGCTTCCGGGTTGGTGAACTCATCAACATTCAGGGATATAGTGCCCCCACACTCCGTGGGGACTCCATGGGGACAACTGGAACCCTCCAGACCTTGCCCTACGAACTTCATCTGGCTGTTCATTTGTTTCCTTTATAATGTCCTTTGTGATAAACTGGTAACGGCTAAGTAAATAAGTAAATACATACAGACATACATAAAAGAAAAGAAAGTAAAATCAAAAGTAACTCTCAAGTCTTCCTGAACTTCATCAAGATCTTCACATGGTGTTTATTAGTAGAGAGTGATGAGAAGGTCTATCCTCAAGGCAGAGGAGGGGCTGGGAACCCCTGATTGGTCCTGCCCGGGAGGGGAGGGCTGCCATATTTGGAGAGCAGCGGGGATGCCGCCTCCCCCTGCAGTTCCTACATAGGCAGGACCGTGCCCTGGAGGACACTGCTGCTGAGGCTCCAGAGACACACTTCCAGAGAGATCCCAAGGTAGGTGGGGAGCCAGAGTTCGCGCTGGGTTCCATTTCTGTGGTCAGGGTTGCTCATTTCTAATCAGACTGCAAACCGTGCCGGGATTTCTTTTCTCCCACCCCCTGGCGTGGGTCCCCAGTCAGGGGACACATAGGAATGTTGGGGCATCACTGGTGTTGCGTGTCTGCTTCTGGTGTTGACAATAAAATGCTATTTTACGGTTGGCTGGTTGGGATTTTCTTTGTGCTTTCACACCCTTGTCCATGAACATGAATTTCTTTCTCGAGATCTCTGTGCTTTTGTGTCTTTAGTTTGACACACCTGTAATTTGTGTTATTATTCTTATTTAACATTTCTCCTTCCAAGGAGTCTGGGCTGAGGGCATGGGGTGTGATTAATGAATGTTCGCTTCATGCTCGGCTCTCTTTGGAGAAGGCTGATCTGAGGTCACTGTGATTAGGGAGCAGTGGGGGGTCAGGTGCCAGAAGCCTGGGTGCTCAGGCTGCTGCCGGGCGCACTCATGCCCTCCCTGGGCCAGAGACTAGACCATGCCTGCAGGGAAAGAGAGGTCACCAGGCATCTAGAGGGGACTGCACTGCGCTTGCGTTTTGCCTTTTTTCCTACGTAAGAACCAGCATCACACTGGAGTTGGACATTTTAGCAGAGGTGGACCAGTCACTTTGGGAATATGACAGGGAGCAGGTGTTAGGGGCTAAGCAAGCTAACTTTTCCACCTCCTTCAGCTCTGGCACGAATGGACTCACTTAAAACTTCATCTAGGACACGGCGTAAGCACGCCTGGCTATGGTCACTGTTCCTGCGTTTCTGATCCACACCGACAAGGGTCCAGGTCCTGGAATGCCCTGAACAGTTGACCTTGGGAAGTAGATTTCCACAATAGCTATTGTAGTTTCAGGAGCCAGACGTGACAAACTACCAGACTCGGGGGCTGAGGGAAGGGGGACTATCCCCTGATGTCATCAGCAGCCCTTCAGATGCCCAGGGGCCACCTTGACCCTGGACCCTCGGCTCTCCCCCAGGCCCTCATCTCCTTTGAAATTCCTCACGAGCCCTGCTCTTTGCTCAGCTTGGGGGCCGTCGGTGCTGCCCTCTGTGCCCAGTGAGTCAAAAGCACAAAATCTAAGCACCGTGCCCTTCTGCAGCCCAGAAAGGCCATGATGCATGGAAACTGGGCACATGGGAACAGTGTCAGACAGACTTGGATTCGAATCCACCACCCATTAGTGTGCAGCCTTGGGCCAGTGACTTACCTACTCTGAAACCCAGCACAACTTTCATAAGATGGGAATGATAACGTACCTACCCCACGTGAGAATTAAGCTAGTCAATGCCAATGGCTGCCACTTAGTAAGTGCTCAATAAAACGCTAGGCGACGGGGAGGGTGGGGTCACGCCGCCCCCAGGGGTGAGACTGGGAGCGTCGTCTATAACACATCTTGACCCCCTGACACAGGAGGCAGGGGTCTCCTGGCCACGCTTCTGTCTCTCTCTCCCCGTCATTACCATAAAGCCCTTTAGGGTCAGCAGCCAGGTGACTTTCTTTGAATGGATAGCAGAATGCACCAGGGCCAGAGCCAGCTTAGGGCAACAGAGAATAAAAAGGGAAGGTTAAGAATACAGTCTGTGCACGGAAGCCTGTGGTTCCAACTCTTCTGGGTGCTTTCCTCCAGAGATCCCTTGATTTCAAAGACTTGGGAACACCAAAGAAAACCTATACGTATTATGTCATTACTCATGTATTTTCCCATGCATATTCAAAGGCTTTATAATTGCCAGTTGTAGCTTCTTATCTGTATGAGAAAACCAGATCTCTGCCCTAAGTGCATATAATTTCAGGCAAAAGCAAGAAACTGGGGATTGGCTTAGCCAGTACAACCGGAGCATGGGAAAACTATTATGGTTTTGGAAAATGTGAACGGCGTGAGGTTGCATTCCTTGCTTAAAATCTGCACACAGGAGGGGGGCAGGGGAGCCCAGGAACCCCACCGGAGAAAGTAACCGTCCCGGCCTTTGCTCTTGCAGATCCTGACACAATGAGGAAGCATCTGGGCAGATGCTGGTTGGCCATTGTCTGCGTCCTGCTGTTCAGCCAGCTCTCGGCAGTCAAGGCAAGAGGCATAAAGCACAGAATCAAGTGGAACCGGAAGACTTTGCCCAGCATCTCCCAGGTCACGGAGGCGCACACGGCTGAGATCCGCCCTGGGGCCTTCATCAGGCAGGGCCGGAAGCTTGATATCGACCTTGGCGCTGAAGGCAACAGGTACTACGAGGCCAACTACTGGCAGTTCCCCGATGGGATCCACTACAATGGCTGCTCTGAGGCCAACGTGACCAAGGAGAAGTTTGTCACCAGTTGCATCAACGCCACCCAGGTGGCCAACCAGGAGGAGCTGTCCCGTGAGAAACAAGATGACAAGCTTTACCAGCGGGTCCTGTGGCGGCTGATCAGGGAGCTCTGCTCTGTCAAGCACTGTGATTTTTGGTTGGAAAGGGGAGCGGGACTTCGGGTCACCCTAGACCAGCCTGTGATGCTCTGCCCGCTGGTTTTCATTTGGTTTATTGCGACATAAGCTTGCAGGCAGGCTGGCAGCCACGGGGATGGGGGGGTGAGCAAGCCGCTGAGTTATCCCAGTTCCTCTCCTCCAGACCCAAACCCCCACGTGTCCCGAAGGTACACATGAGGAACCAAGTATTCCCATGGGTACCCGTCTGCTTTTGATAAATGTGTGTGTACCAATCCCCTCCAGGCTCTACTGAAGGGCAGCCTTTTAATCACCACATTCTCAGGTCCCAGCGGAGGGTCTGGCACACCATCTTCCGCAGTAAATGTTGGGTGAACAGATAAGAGAATGAGCCAGGGACCCTGCCACGCGCGTCACGCTATTTCCGGACCCCTCTTAGAGGTAGGTGCTATTCCCACTGTACAGATGAGGAAACGGAGGCTCCAACAGGTGAAGTGGCTGGAGAGTAGCAGAGCCAAAATTCAATCCTGGCTTGTGTCACCCCAGGTCTTCCCCTCTGTGCAATCCCAGAGCTGTCTTGTGATCCCTTTCTTACTGCTCGCAAGACCCAAACCCAAACACAGATTTCTGGCGAAACCGCAGAAACCCCACTTTTGGAAATACGAAACGGTCTGAACTGATGGCCATGTATCTTAATACCTGGTTACATGGAGGTTTTATTTAACTCTTCTCATCAAACTAAGATACAAGAAAGGGATTAAGCAGACACAGAAGTAAAGCTAGACGAAGGCCCAGAAATCACCGCGTAAGGCGATCTTGCCAGGCCGGTTCCCAGAGCAGACCAGATGCACAGCAGGATGTGACCACGGCACAAAGGTTTTTGTTTTGTTTTGTTCTGGTTTCGGTGTTTTTCTTTTTGTTTTTGTTTTTCGCAAGAAGGATAAGTATTTGCTCTTCCTGGCTCTGAACTATTGTCTGGATTTGAGAAAGTATTTTTAATGGGCATGTTTGCTTTCTAATGTTCGTTCCCCCAGCCCTTTCTGTATCTCTCTGTGTATATGCAAATGAGAATCTTTAAATATACTCCCTTTACACGGGTACCACGCCAATTTCTGGCTGCTTTTTTACTCCCACTTCGGTGAGGGGCCGTCATTTCTGTGAACCACTTAGCTCTATAAAAAAAAATAATTCCTTGGGGCACCTGGGTGGCGCAGTCGGTTAAGCGGCCGACTTCAGCCAGGTCACGATCTCGCGGTCCGTGAGTTCGAGCCCCGCGTCGGGCTCTGGGCTGATGGCTCAGAGCCTGGAGCCTGTTTCCGATTCTGTGTCTCCCTCTCTCTCTGCCCCTCCCCCATTCATGCTCTGTCTCTCTCTGTCCCAAAAATAAATAAACGTTGAAAAAAAAAAAAAATAAAAAAAAATAATTCCTTGCCACAAAGGTTCAAGAGAAGCTACGTCTTTAGGGAGACCCGACAAAGAACTCACTCATGCCCTAAGCAAGAGGCGATATGCCACTTATTATCTACTTCTTATTAGTTACCTATAGATACTACAAAATGCTAGTAGTTAATATTAGTTACAAATAAATATATCACAAAATAGGAATACGGCTTAAGTACAAATAATGAAGCTACTGCTCTAAGATGCCCCAAGAGACGCTCTGGGGTGCATTTAGAGGCGCCCCCCCCCTCCGCCCCAGGAATTGTTGAACCATATTTGGACGCACCAGCTGCTGAATATTATCAATTCTCCTTTAAAGAGAGTCTGTAAGGGGAGAAAAATGTGCATTCTCGGACAGTGTATCCTAAGTATTTTAAAACATGAATGTTGATAATGGTACCTCTTGTTCTGAGCCTCCACTGCTATCAGCGTTCTTCTCAAGGCTACTTCTGGAAGGTTTAAATACACGGAAAGCCAGTGGAGGACTTGGGGGCGGGGCAGCCCAGGGTAGCGGCTCTCCCCTGGGAGCCTGGGGGGCCTAGCCCCTGCCCTGAATCTGCACCGAGGAGGAGGAGGAGGAGGAGGGTGGGATGGAGGCCAGAAGGCCGTAGTTCTCAGACGGCCAGCACTGTGCCCACCTTCTGCTTCCACAGTCCTGTTGGACTCTTGAGCAGAGCACAAGATAGAAGTACAAGCCATGTGGGTCATTTCTTCCCTGTCCATTTTTTATTTTTATTTTTTTAATAATAACAATAGCAAGAAAGACAGAAGGAAGGATGGAAGGAAAGAAGGAAGGAAGGAAGGAGCAGGAAGAAAGAAAGAAAAGAAAGAAAGAAAAGAAAAGAAAAGAAAAGAAAAGAAAAGAAAAGAAGGGGGGCGCCTGGGTGGCTCGGTCGGTTAAGCGTCCGACTTCAGCTCAGGTCATGATCTCACGGTCCGTGAGTTCGAGCCCCGCGTCGGGCTCTGTGCTAACAGCTCAGAGCCTGGAGCCTGCTTCGGATTCTGTGTCTCCCTCCCTCTCTGCCCCTCCCCTGTTCATGCTCTGTCTCTCTCTGTCTCAAAAATAAATAAACGTTAAAAAAAAATTTTTTTTTTAAAAAAGAAAAGAAAAGAAGGAAAGAAAGAAAGAAAGAAAGAAAGAAAGAAAGAAAGAAACTACTTACAGGCTGATGTTGAAAGAAAGAAAGAGAAGGAAAGACAGAAAAGAAAGGAAAGAAAAAGAAAGAAAGAAAGAGAAAGAAAGAAAGAAAGAAAGAAAGAAAGAAAGAAAGAAAGAAAGAAAGAAAGAAACTACTTACAGGCTGATGTTGAAAATTTCAGCCCAGCCCTGCTGAGTGTAACTAACCATAAGGGCACACACAGGCACAGAAGCAAAATGACTTCATTTCTTAGGTGAAAACAGGTCACAACATAGTACATTTTCTATAATTGCTGTCTTTTCTCATTTCATTAACAGTTCCAGACATCAGATTTAAGTGGGGCGTGAAAGGGAATTTGTACATGGTGATTCAAATGCAAACATTATTCACGAAGCTTTTGAGACTATATGTGCTTGAACATCCTTGCTGATGTTTACGAATTATGAGGTCAAGGGAAGGCTTCGGTTTTTCACTTTAGCAAAAGGTTGCCGAGCAGCTACTGTGTGTAACACACTGTAAGGGACCTCCGAATTATTCTTGATACAGTCATTCTAAATGTGAATAATTTCGCTAACATTGCATTCTCAGCCCCTCCAAGTGTTGACTCTTCCAAATGTGCTTATTGTAAAAGTGACATTCAAATGACAATGGAAATCCGATTGCCGGCAATCCCAGCATCTGATGAAGTCATTGTTTTCGGTTTGCCCTCTTACCTCCTAGGCCATAATATTTGCATATACATGTGTACATACTTGCAGTAACAATGTAGCTTTTATATTCCAAATATTCTCTGGACTTTATTCTATGCTTTTTTCATTTTTTGTGCCAGGTTTTAGTTCTTGGCTCCCCCTACCTTTCCCAACCCATTCTCTCCCTCCTGCCTGCTGTGCAACCTCCACATTTTCACTGTGCTTAGGTATACAAGGGAGGGTTTTTTTAATTTGATTGCTCCTTTAAAAAACACTATGATTGTACATATCACATTTATTCCTCCGCAGTTTGATTTATAACTTCACACTGCCTCATGAACCTCTTTCCAGTTCAACAGCGAGCTGGTTAGCTAATGTGTCCTTTCAGATTGCCGTGTAATATTCCATGGTGTAGATAGACCCTGGTTGATTTGATCACTTCCTTGCTGATGGACCTTCAGGGTTTTTTTGCCACTGCAAACAATAAACATCCTTGTACATATAGCCTTGCAACGTGTGGCTTTTATTTCTGTGGAATAGTTTCAATATAAATAATTTAAATTTTTCTAGATATGGCTAGATCATGTTCCTACATTGCTGGAGCAATTCTCATTCCTGCCTGCCCTGGACGGTGCTAACCTGTAAGGGTTTTTATGTCACTTAAGTGTAAGAACCTGTCTTTGCTGCAAGTGCCGCTCGAGTACCTTCTCTCCTTTGCAGACAGCACATCCAAATCCTGCCAAGTAACTTCTGACCACCAGCACCATTTGAAAATCCTAAAACTGTTAGCAGTTCCTATTTTAAACCTGGCTTTTCGCTCAAAACATCCGGATGAGAAGCCTGGAAAGCAGGCTTGGGCTTTAGAGGGTGGTATATTTGCACAACTTTGTGCTCCCTGATGGCCAGGGAGGTGTGGGGTGAGGTTTGGTCCTGGCCTTGTTTTTTAAAAAGATTTATTATTTTTTTTAATGTTTATTTATTTTTGAGAGAGAGAGAGAGAGAGAGAGCATGAGCAGGGGAGGGGCAGAGAGAGAGGGATACAGAATCTAAAGCAGGATCCAGGCTGTGAGCTGTCAGCACAGAGCCCGACGCGGGGCTCGAACTCACAGACTTCGAGATCATGACCTGAGCCAAAGTCGGACGCTCAACCGACGGAGCCACCCAGGCACCCCGGTCCTGGCCTTTTCATTAATCCGGGGTAAATTATCCGCATTCCAGTGAGAATGCCCTCTAGGAGATAAAGACCAAAAGCACCGGGCGTCAAGCACACTGTTCAAGTAGCCGGGGCCCCTCCTGGCTTCAGGGCCTCTGCAGACGGCCAGCATCTCCCGGGAGCCTTTGCTCCCCATCTTGCTTAGGATGCGCTCTGCAACATTTAGACCTCACCCCATGGTCCTCACGAGATGTGTCCCAGGCAGTAGCCATGAGTTTGTCGTGAGACGTTTACACTCTCTCCCTCAAGCTCGCTGATAAGAAGAGATGAACTTGGGGCAGAGGCCCATTGGGTCAGGCGCCCCCGGTCCTACGTCACACCTTGAGATTTGGTCACTTCTTGTGTTTCCACCCAACATGTTTTCTTCACGTGCTGTGTGTGGCTGGACAAGGACACCCTAAGATGCCCGTGTGTCGCTGTGTGTCACCCTCTGGAGCCTGCCATGGTCTCAACTGAAAGATGAAGAGCGGGGGCCGTGTGCCCCCACACAGGCAGTGATAGGCCACGCACACTGAGCGGGTGATGGAGGAGACGCACAGACACGGCATCCTGGCAAATTTCTGTTCCCCCAGCGGAAAGCTCAGACGCTGCTCTGGCAAACCCAGCTTGTGCCGGGCGTGTGTGCTC